GTTTTTAAAAGGCTTTGAGATGACAAATAACTATATAGTTTTTGTTTGAATGTTTATTTCCATTTATTTTTCTGGGAATTTTCACTGACCCATAGCTTCAGAATAAGGGCCTTTTTGTTATTTGCTTGTTTTTTCAATATGAAAACTACTAGCACTTTCCTAATTGCACTTTTTGTTGTTGAAAACCAGATTTATGTCCACAATTTAAATATATCTCGCGTATATTGGGTTTTACTTCTGCGCTTTGGTGATTTCCTTTCTTATATGGTCATGTAATAATTAAAGCTAAAATATAGCTGCTAGTTTTCCTAGTAACTGAACAGTAGGAAATAGCAAAGTAGAGGAAGTGAATTATTTTGTTCATTAGTATAGACGAAATCAGAGTCCAGTCCAAGCTAGAAAAAAACTGAAATGAAGCCTACAATCACATCTCAGTTTAATACTTGATTCACAGATAATACTGATTTTGGTGTGTATGTTCTAGTTAATTAGACAGAATTCCTGAAGTGTGAAATGAGCTGTTTTCTTGCAAAACTTTTTTTTTTTTCTTTTTTTTTCTCAAGGCTCAGTTAAATCTGAAGGAGTAGGATTTAATGTACTGGTTTGCCAGAGCTGAGAAAGGGAAACTTGCTGCTAGTTCTTATGCTTAAACTGTGGGGTTTTTTGTGTGTGTGTGTGTGTGTGTGTGTGTGTGTGTGTGTGTGTGAGATTGAAAAAACATCTTCCTGCATGCTGTACCGTAAGCCTTACTGTTACTTCCTTTTTATTAAAAGGAAGTAGGGTGTGGGGGGGGTAGTGGTTTTCTCTTATTTATTGGTGATCTGTGTTTGATTCTTCATCATACTGAAAATGTGTTTTTTTTTTTTTTTTTAAGCTGTATTATGTTAATTTGCGAACAAAAAATGGAACCTACAGGTGGAAAAAAATTGCAAACTTTAAAGGTCAACCTCCTACACCGCGTGACAAGCTTTCCTGCTGGGTGTATAAGGACAGGTAACACATTAAGAATATTAAATACATCTTAACTGCAGAGAGGGAAGTGTATAAAGTGAAGAGGACACAGATTTGGGATTCATGAAGCAATTTCTTAGCTTGACTTGCTATGTGGTTTTGTGCAACTCTCCTAACAACTTTGAACCCCAGTTTTCTCACCTGTAAACTGAGGGGAAAAAAAAAAGCCTGCTTTAGGAGAGGATTGGGAAGTTTAGTGAATGTTTATGGAGTGCTTTGAGATTTTAGATTAAAATAATTACATGTCACATATTTATAAACACCTGGTAAAAAAAGTGGAAAAACAGGCATTGAATTTTGAATGTCAAATTGCAAGGCCACTTTGGTAAGTATCTTTATTATATAAAGGGCAAATTGACCCTAGATGCTTGTGTCCTAGATGTTACTAGATGTATTTAGGGAAAAAAAAAGCTAAAAATAGCTCTTTTTTTTCTCTAGCTTTTATACTTACTCTGGCAAGTGTCTTGATATTGTGGCATATCTGGTCACAATATCGTATGTGTGTGTGATTTGATATGAAAGCTTTTGTGAACAAAAATATGATATACAGTGAACACTATATTTATGTAACATATATATAATGTCAGTAGTATATCTTGATTCTGTAATTCTGATTTAACTGTAACATATATGAAATCACAAATATTTGAACAGCTTCTTAGCTAATAGTCCAGGTTTATTCAAAGCTAAGTTAATTATTCAGAGTCTTGTATAATCAGTATACTGAAGAGGTCACTTATTTCAGGGAGCAGAATTTAACTAACATAACCTTTTTATTGAACAAAAATATCTGGGGACAAGCTATGCACTTTTTCAAAAGTAAACCATAACATCTCACAAGAAGTGAATGTGCAGATCAGGATGTCTTGGTGTATTGCACGGTGCTTTCAGTAACTGTTTCCCTAAGAATGTCAGTCTGGAATGACCTTCACCATATCATCATTTCCCAAATGATACCAAACCATACCAAATATCCTCAACCATACCAAATATCCTCAAAGGTTGAAGTTTTTTTAAAAAAATAAAATAAAATTAGGAAGTGTTACTTATGGATGGCCATTTCATGGGTGGAATATTAGGCTGGGAGATGTGTAACAATATTTGCAACACAATACCCTTATGCTCAGTAGTACTTAGTTAAAACAAACTCCATATAAGCTAGAGAAATAGAAGACTCTGCGGGCCATGAGCAGTCTGTGGGCTGAACTTTGGGAATATTAGTGGTAGAAATATGTATGACTAAAATATGCAGCAGAAGCACAGAAATGTTAGGGGAAAGTGATAAGAACTCTAGGAGAAATATAGGGATTTCAGTGTCTCATGTGTTATGTGTTTTGAAATTCATGTCCCAAAATGCGACTGAAACTTGTGGATAGAGGAATACAGTTAGTGGAATTTGAGGTATCCAGAACTTGCTTACTCGATTCTGTGGGTTTCTGTCAGGCATGGTCAGGAGTGTAGCAATATTGCCCTCATCCAGGTATGCCCTTCTGTGTAGCTGTAGACTGTATAAAATATTTTTATTTGATTTGTTATTAATAGTTTCAATTTTGCCTATTGTACTAACTGTTACAGCTTATTCATTTGAATGTTATTTTTTAAAAAAGAAGAAACAGCCTTAGAACTAGATTTTTGTTGTTATTCTTTTAGGCTAATATATTTTGGTGGCTATGGCTGTAGGAAGCACAATGAGCTGAGCGATTGCTTTGATGTCCATGATGCATTTTGGGTAAGAGAGTTGTTAATACTCAGAGTGACTTATCCTTTCTGATTGTCAAAAGATAGTCTTTCATATGATATTAAATAGGTATGAAAATCTTTCTAATTTTTCTTTTATCTGTAGCATCATCAGAAATGCAAATTTGAAGCTTTTACTTAAATTTGAAGCTTCCACTGTTGGATGTTGGGTTTCTTTCAGTATACTCCAAGTACCTAATTCTAGACTTTTAGTGCAACAAAACAGAATACTGTTAAAGTGGACACAAAGGCATTATTTTTAAATTAATTATGAAAATCCCACAGAATTTTAGAATCACTTTTCTTGAAGTAACAGTAGGTATTCATAAGTCTGACAAATACATTAATTACTTGTTATATTTGTTATTCAAAGTAAATACCATTACTTAGTTGCCTGGATTAGCTTGTTGTAAAAATTCTTGCAGTTTTTAGTAAAGAGGCTGACTTAGAATCAGAGTCTTCATGCACAAGAATTAACAAGAAGTAGATGCTCGCTGAAGAGAACATAGACCACTATATCAAATGGTAAATATTTACTTACAGAAATGCATTACTTTATACAATCTAAGTATTTATTACTCAGCATCTGCAATAAAAAAGTAAATTTGTTTACTTGACTGATTTAGGAGTCTATAAAGCTCATTTTCCAAAGTGTCATCAGCCTGAACAGCCCTACATGTTCATCACTGGACCTGAGCTTCTGAATTGCCTTAAAAAATAGTGTCTATTTCTCAATATTTTATTTTCTATTTTGATATATCACTCCTAGTTTGTTCTTTTTCCTTTAACAATTTTTTTTTATTATTTGTAACACTTTTCCTTTAGGAAGGACAGATATTCTGGGGATGGCATAATGATGTTCACGTTTTTGATACGAATACACAAACTTGGTCTCAGCCAGCAATCAGAGTGAGTGTTTGTTAAGTCTTGTTTTGTGACACAATTGGTACAGCTGTGATTTTGCTACCTTTTGAATAGCTACTGAGCTCTGGAAGTCAATGGCGGGAGTAGTAGTTTGAATATGCTTAGTATTAATTAGTTTTATACTATTAACAGGAGGATATCCAATGCATGTAAATTGTGGCAAATTCAAAACTGATGAGACGAATTCTTTTTACACAGGATGTTATTATAATGGTGTTCATTGCTGTGTAGTGGTCTTGAAGTAAAAAATGCAGCAAGTTTCAGAAGGGTGTTAGAAATCTGTATAGATGAGAAGATGATACAATATTAAATAGCTCAGACTGACAGAAAGCACAAGAAGATAAAGGTTCAAATTCAAACTTTAAAACAACTGTTGGCAATATAAAATTAAAGTTAGCGCTCCTTTATTGGAAGGAGTAGTCACTGGATACAAGAATACTCCAGAAAATAGTCATGCTGATTAGTAAGGTAAACAGAATTTATATTCTTCAGCAAATAAATTACTTTAATAATTTTCCAAATGAGCAGGTATACTCATAGGTTTCTGAGTAAAATGGTAACACATTTATTAAAATTAGTATGGTAGTTTACTGCAGAGTTATACGATGCTGGGGAGTTCGCCTAAGAATTCAGTAAACTTTAGTACTGGTTTGTACCTTGGAAAAAATCAAGCTGAACAGGACATATCAACCATTACTGATGTACTATTGTAACTTCGATGCAGGGAATTTGGGAATTAAAGCAAAATTAATAGATATCACTTTAATAAAGCATTAATAAATCAGACCAAGAGGGAACACATAAAGTATTAGCAAATGAAGGAGCTCAGTTGAAGTATGGCAATTACGCATGTCCTCTAGGATCAGTGGGATTTGGACAATCTGCAGATTCTTTCCTTTTAAAATTGTACTTCTCTTGGCATAATGATTTGTTGGCATCTTGTCCTTACTTTTGCATCTGTGTCACTGACTTGCTTTTAGTCCTTGGCTGACACTTTGTTGATATTTCGAAGTATTTGTTATGTTATGTTATGTGTACATATTCCAATATTTGTTCTTTCAGGGTGGAGAACCACCTCAGCCTCGAGCAGCTCATACATGTGCTGTGCTGGGAAATAAAGGTTACATCTTTGGAGGACGAGTGCTGGTTAGTGTTTAATTAAGACATTTTATTGGCAGTAATATTTTCTTCTCCCTCTCTCTCTCTTTCTCTCTCTTTTTTTTTTTTTTTAAAGCAATTTTCTTTCACAGTAGAGATAAAGCTCAAGTGTCTTTGATCATAACTTGTATGTGTAAGAATGGTGAGTCCAGGGTGCTTATACCTAATGAAGAGTCTCTTCTGTTAGTAATGCATGCATTACTCCAAAACAGGGAGGGGAAAAAAAAAAAAAAAGACCACATGGGGAAGAGGCTTTTTTAATGTGTTTGTAAATTGACAAAAAAATTGAACTGTGCATAAGCTCCGAGATACTCTTTGAGAGTAGAGGAAAGGTAAGCCTGATTAAATCAGGTTTTAATAAATGGTGGAATTCTAGCATTCTGTGCTTGCTACAGTTTAACAGATTTTTGTATAAAGTTTTCTTTTAATTCCACTTAATGAAATGCTAGAAAGTAGTGAATATATCTAGGACTTTACCTTGTACTTTTTTTTCCTAAAGAAATGAAATTTATAGGAGTAGTCACTTTTCACATACACATCTCTGATATGCTCATTTTTACCTTCTGGGAGCTGACGTTCAGAATAGTTGTTTGGATACGATATTTTATGTCTGCAAACACGTTTGCAAGCAAAGTGAAGTTCTGGAAGGTAGGAAATGACAGATTTCAGTTGGCTGTGATCTAAGATGTTGTCATCTTTGGCATATAAATGACTGAAACACGGTCCTCTGGAAAAACAACATGTCAGCACAGTGTCTGCACACAAAGCTGTCAGTCTCCATGCATTCAAGCCAGTACAGGATGCTGCAGCTTGTTGTTTTGATAACACAGGTTGTTGCAGGCACAGGTTATTTCTGTCCCATTGAGTCTCTCCTGTGCCCCATGAATGTCAGGTTCACGGTCTGTGTTTACTTGCAATGTATTCCGTGCCATTGAAAAAGAACATTGGAAGCATTCCATAAAGATCGTGATGCACATGCTACTCTGTGCATCCAGTATAAGCTCTTTACCAGAAGAGTAAGGTTGGTATGTTTTCTTGGTAGTTGATTCAAGACCATATCATTTCATACATTTAACTTTAAATAGTGTATGGAAATTTAAATATCGCATTGTCAAAGACAGTGTAAAAGCCATTTAGGATGTAGTCAGAACAAGGCTGTATTCTTACTATATAATATGAACTGTGAAATTTCTTACTTTCCTAGCCCCTTTTAACTTAAAAAGAAAGAAAGGAAGGAAAAAAATAAAACCCATTAACAACTGTCCTCTTGCACCTTCCCCCTTCACCCAGTCCTTTATTTGTAGCAAGGATGATTCCCTAACAAACTTGTAATTTTTTAGTACTGGTCAAAGGAGATTTTTCTACTGGTTCTCATAAGAAGTCCTTCTTTCCTGAAACATCAAATAAATATAAAACATTAAGTCTGAGGCAGCAACTGAATCAAAAAAACATCCTGTTTTATGACTGAAAATAGAGATACTACTAGACATCCTTTATAAATGATAGGTGAAGCTGGCTTTATTTATGGCATATGTACCAACTCTTAAAAGTATTGCAAAAAAATGGTAAGATAATATTATATACTTCTGTATGAGCTGGAATTTATCAGGAATTTGAGGAACTGAGATCCTGTAAGGCAGGTAAACCTCCTTTCCATATTTTTTAAGATGTTAAGATTAAGTTCTCTTTAGTTACAACTATTTTAGAGCTTTTAATCCTATTTAGCTTAATACTTTCTAAATCTACCTTACTTCTATGAAGGGTAACAATAAAGAAGGTTTTGAAAGCACTCAGTGCTGTATTTCTAGTTTTGGTATGTGAAAGAAAATAGCTTGTTTGGAAATGTCCTACCATGAACAGTTGCCAACTTCATCTTAGAAAGCTGCTATAACCTAATGAAGTTATTTCTCAAATACTTGCAATTAAACATTGCTTAGAATTTTATTCGAACTTTATTGCCTCTCTTAATCCCCCCTCTCATGCTGTAAGAACTGCACTCTAATCCACTGTTCTTCTCGGGAAAAGTCTACAGTTCTGTTACAAAATGGCTTACTCCTGCTTGCTCAGACAGAAACCAGACCTACTGATCAAGGCAGATGGAGAATGGCCACACAATCCAATATCCAGCCAGTTATTCAGTTTGAATTGCCTCCCACACTTCTAGTAAAGTTTTTATCCAAGTACGTTTTCGGTACAGTTAGAAAAGAAAATAACCCAAACTGATCCTTAACATTCTGTATGAGGTGTTATGTGGCCTTTCATACAGGCTCATGATCTAAAAGCCCACTCCTGACAGAACTGCACACAATAACTTCCAGAGCTGTAAATTGGGACAAACTTGTCTTGCAAATGACTGAGGAAATACAAGTATTAAAAAAAAAAAAAAAAGGGAAAAGTGTCTTGTCTTGCCAGAATGCTCTGTGTCAGGGTTAGCCATGCCAGGCTAAGCCATTCCCGGGCCTGTGCTATAGGCTTTCTGTGCCACATCTGCTGTATAAATGAACTCTGCCAACCCCAGCTGAACTGTGTCCTGCCTCTCCTTCAGCAAGCGGGCAGGCTGAGAGGGAGAGAAACCTAGATGTGAAGAAGTAAACGTGCAGCTTGGGACCTTCCAGCCTACTAATTCTGACCATTTGTGCAGCCTTCAAAGCCGCGCGCCGTCTGGCTTGATGTTAGCAAGGACTGTGTCTATGGGGCAGAGATCTTCTCACCAGAAACAGAAGTGTGTGGTGTGTCCAGCTAATTAGGGTTGCTGCACCTTGCCTATTGCAACTGAGCTGCCCTGTAACCCAAGCCATGATTTCCACACAGCCTCTGCTACTTGCAGTGAATACATTGATAAACTGGAGCTCACCTGTGATTTTTTTTTGTTTTTTGTTTTTTTTCCTACTGTGCTGTTGCATGATTTGCTATGTCTTAAGCTCTCTGGCTTTTATTTAATTCTGTCCAATTAACTACAGGATTCAGGAATACCAGAAGGCTATGATCTTAAAAGGTTTTTCTCTTCCTCAGGTAGCATCTGCTTCCTTAATAACCATTTGCTAAATTTCAGTGAAACCACTTGAGAACACTATCAGAAAAGAGTGACACTTTGGAAAGCTATACTTAATTTTGCAGGAGAACAGCAAGTGCAATTTTCTTTTTAGTGATACCCTATTATTGTTTCATCTTCTGTCCTGGAAATAAATGGAAGGAGATTCATTAAGGCTAGTCAGCATGCAGCAGGGTTTGAAGAGTTAATATAAATCATGAAAGGAAAGGTAAAGACATCAGAAAGACTACATTTCCTGGCAACAGGAGTAACTCCTCCCCAAAGGATGAAGTCTTGCTTTTCTCCATAAATTAAGGAGCAAGTATGGAGTTGCTCTGCTCCTCCTTCTCCTTCTAGTTCACCATAATACAAATCTTCCCAGGGAAAAGGCTCTACAAGGAACCAGAAAGGGCCAGGAAGTGTCATGAGGCTTCTCCTATTCATCTTTCTGGGAGGAAAGGGCACCTTTTTCCAAACTTGGAGATAGAGCTGGTAAAAGAAGAAGATGATGATCAAAATCAATTGTACCAGGAGTCATTTGAAAACAGGCTCAGAAGTGTTATGTGGACTCTGTTCCTCCAGGTAAGCCCCTGAAAAACAGAAATGGGAGAAAGTGGGAAGGAAGGAGAATTAGTCCGAAAGTTGATGCAAGTCTCATGTGTGATTTAAGTGGAAAGATTTCATGTAAAGAATGATGAAGTAATAAAGTCTCTTCAGCAGCTCTTTGCATATCTAATGCCTTAATGTATGCATGTTTCTATTTGCTGTTATCCTTTCTGTCACAGAAGATCAGAAGATAATTTGAACTGCAGTCTGTCTTTTACATAGCTGTTTGATTGCAAATCTCAGAATGGAGAGAGCTGCATAGTTTACTGTAACAGTGGTGAGCTGTGAAAATGTCACATCAGCCTTATTGCTTTTCACCATGCTAGAAAGCAAGTCCTGAGACAAAAGCAGATTCTGGTTAATGTTCACTAGGCTGTCAGCAAATGAACAAGCTATAGATAAATGTGGAAAGCGTGTAAGGACTTCTTGCAGCTCAAAGGGAAATGCCAGCCCTCCTATGAGGCTTGGTAGTGTTAAGAATCACTTTAGGATTATCAGCTAAGTGATGCAATATAGTAGGCAGCATTCAGGAATGTAGAAAAAAAAGTCAAGAAAATTTTGCATGTTGTAAGAGAGCATTCTGTAAACTAACCATGTGTTTTACAGCTTTCCTCACAAGGGCTGGATAGAAAGACATTTTGATTTGTTTAAATTATGTTAAAAGATTGATTCTTAGAGCCAAATGTCCAAGTGATGCATTTCAAATTCAGAATGAGGTTGATGTAATTATGCATCTGTCAGTCAAAACATTAGAATGTGAAGATGATAATACATTGATTTCCCAGGGAACATGAAGTCAGAATTTCTATTCTGTTGTGCTGCCTAATGCCTACTTTTTCAAGACAGGAAAGTCAGCTAGAAGGTCTTGAACAAATTCTTCTTGAAACCTTAATTTTCAACATAACAACTTTCTTTCCTCCATTAATAGGTGTCCTCTGTATCAAACTGTATTATTTCAGGATGGTAAAATATTCTCAATTCTGGAAGCCAAGGTGTTTTTTCCTACCCCCAGATGACTAACCATGTAGAGCAAAAAATACTCAGTATCAAGAATGCATAAAAGCACTTAGAGGCTGCTTTCCTTTAGGCTTCTCTGAAGGCATTTTACAAAATGATAGTTAATATTATATTCCTTAGGACAGAAAAGGGCTAGCACATCAGAGGAGGCCACAGACATCCTGAAAACCTTGCTGTTTCCTGAAATACCCTGAGAGACTTTCCATAGCTCTGATGGACAGCATTGGAAGTCTCTCAAACTCGCTATAACTGGCTGGGTTTCTCAGGGGTGAAACTACTCCTATCCTGACTTAAACGACAAGTCTAGTTTCTGCCTCAAAGGATCTGCAAGCTGGAGAAAGGCTCATTCTAATAGATCTATGGACTATTCTAGGAGAAAAGAAATTGTAAGGTAAGGCAAGATATATTTCCCTACTTCTCAGATACTGGTTTGTGGTACTTAAGGGAATCACAAAAATCAGTTGAGTGTATTGAGAGTCATTGAAAATGTTACTGCGTTCTAAAGCAAAGCAAATCTTGCTTATATTCTTCCCTCCCACCCATAGACACGTTTATGATTCCAATTACTTTCTTCATTTCAAAACACACATAGATACACAAGTATATTGATTATTCATTGTTGTTACTGACAAGTTTTATTATTTTATGGCAAATGTTAAAGGGTCATAAAACTTTGTGACTTTTAGCAGTAACATTGTGTAAGAGGTTGACATCCTGAAAGGAGAAACATAGATGCAAAGAACTTCTTGTGGATGTCGTGTACCAAGCACAATAGATACCAAAACATCGCAAGGAATGAGTAGCTAGGCAGGAAGATGCATGAGTCTGATAAGAATGCAAAGAAAAATAGTGAGTTAAATGTGCTTCTGCAGTTATCCAACACAGGTGAGAAATTACTGTTGCAAGAATTGAGTATCTCATAGTTTTTGGTTATTAAACCGTTCTAAAAAAATAGATAAATTAGCTCCATACTGCCATGGCATTACAGGTTATTTTCAGAGAGTTGTATGTTTTTATAGAAGAGAGGAAATGTTTTTTTTATCTGCCAGGAAGGATGAAGGCACAGGTCCTAGGAAGGTCTCGCTACAATACTTTGCTCGTTATTTGTTTCATGTAACAAAACTTTGATTTTTATCTATTTATTTGTTTTAGCAAACTAGAATGAATGATTTGCACTGCCTGAACTTAGACACTTGGACTTGGTCTGGACGGTAGGTTTTTTTCTCTAAAACACTTGAAGTTGACTGTAGCAGATGGAAACATATGTTGAATAGTTCCACTGCTGATTTTGTAGCGTTTCCAAGAGGAGAATGGGAGTTTGGGGGACTATTTCACCAGCTGTTAGATTGTGATTTCAATTTAATTTAATTTGGTAGTGACTGTAGAGCTCTTTGTGCTGCACCAAGCATTGTTGATGCCGTTCTGAGCGCAGCATGTAGTGATTTAACATCCCCATTTTCAAGATGGGTACCCTTATCCATATGGAATTTTAGTTTTGATGTTTTTTGGAATACTGTTTGTACTATCTATTACTTGACTTTATAGTCCAGATTGGGAAAAGATCGCTTTTGTTTTCCTCAACGTTCTTTCTAAACACTTTTTTATCAAAGAATATTATCTAGATAATTCCATTTTAAACAAAGTTAGGTATTAAAGTACTTCCTAAGAAGTGTATTTTGCATTGCTGGCCTCTGCTATGCTGTTCTTTCCTTTCTACCCACTGTCCTCTTATTCAAAACATTTTAATCTTCCAGCACTTCTGTTAATATGATGCTTTTTTTTCTGTAGCGTGAATGTTGAATATATCCTCCATGAGTATCTGTATTGCCCATTAGTATCAGTACTCTAAACATCAAAGCCTGTTGTATCTGAGCACAGCCTGCCTCTTTTGCTAATTTTAGAAGCAATTTGTGCAAGAGTTGCTCAGAGCAGGCACTTAAACTCTTGGCTGTTTTAAGCTTGTAGACTTAGCTCCAAATTCAGTGCCAAATTTTGTAGGACAGTCTTACAACTGATATTTAATTAGCCGTGATTCTTCCGTCTTGGCTTCCAGATGGAGAATTACTTGGCAGTCCCCGGCAGGTGGTATTCCTGCAAGTGAACTTGGGGTGTCTGAGCCCTGTGTGCTCTGTTAAGAGCAATAGGCTCCTCTGGGGCACAAGACAACGTCTAAAATGAGTCAGATAAGGTGTGTTCTTCAAGGGCCTCTTCCTCTTCACTGACTAAGGAGGGACAGATGTTCACACCGTGGGCTGAGCACAGGTCTGTGCAGATTCAATTTACATAACTTTAGCAAAGAAAAGCAACAGGTTCTTGGAGATGCAATCTACGTGGGCCTTGCAGCTTCTTCCCTCTCTTCTAGGCAGTTTCCAGCTTGCCCGAGGAGCTGAATGGTGTTTGTAGAACATTTTTTGGTTTTGTTTTTGACCATTTTGTTTCATTATCCTTCTAAAATTAGAATAGGTTGTGTGTGTAGCGGCCTAGATTCCTCATATCTAACTTTAGGTCCTTTACAAGTTGCCCCTGTTGTTAGCAGCAAGATTTTGGGCTGATGCCCCCTGGATGTCCTTACTTTTCCCTGCTGCTTGTATTGGGATCCAACCATACATCCAGGTATCTAAAGTAAGCAGAGGCACTTTCATGCCACCAACTATAGGGAATGCCTAATCTTTGGATTCTTTTCTGGGATTCTTTTCAGATCTTTTTTTTTTTTTTTTCCCTGGAAGCAGAAAGACTATAATCCCACTGAATTTATTAAATTTTATTGAAGGAACTGAATCTGTTTACCTACGTATGCTGTGCAGTTCATTTTAATATAATGTCCTTCCTTTGCTGTCTTAAATGCGTTCACTTGTATGCTAAATTCTGGTTTCAGTGATCTTAAATAATCAATGCTTTTATGCTTAAATATAATATTTACCTAATTGAATGTTCAGAGAACTGGTACTACAAGAAATTACTTGGTTTGAGTTTGAATGCCATTTTTCTCAAGAGTAAACTTAGATGATTTAAGTGCAGCTTTTTTATTGGAAAAATATCTAGGATCATTTTAGGACAAATTAATAAGTGAATTTTCTGGCAGGTTCATTTTCATCATTCTTTGAAAAATTCCTTTTGTTTCTTTGTTTCGCCAAGAATTAGTATCAGTGGAGAGAAACCAAAAGATCGATCATGGCACACGTTGACTCCTATAGGAGATGACAGACTCTTTCTTTTTGGTGGACTGAGTTCTGATAATGTTCCTTTAAGTAAGTAATTTAAAGCTTAAAAGTTTATTGTATGCTTTAATAGTATGCATTTATTGTATGCTTTAATAGTACGCATTTATTGTCCTTCTCAAGCAATTTAGGTCTAAAGCTTTTACAGTATTTTCATGGCACTTGAATGTTTCCATGACCATATTATTTTACGTAGAACTGCAGGAGCACTTTTATTGTGCAGCACAGGGAGCATGCATGGTAATAAATCTCCTTAGACTGTTTTAACAGAATAAAAGGCAAGAGTCTCGCACATCAAAAAAGTTACCCCTGAATATCAATAGCAATCGTAGTAAGAAGGTACAAATAATGTTGACAACATAACACTTTGGATGAATAACGTTAATCACAGCAACAAAAACATTAAAGACAAAGCTGCATAACCTGTTACAGAATTCTTATTGTAGGAAAGGGAACTTTTCATGACAAAATGCAAAATTATTGAAAACAGATTGAGTGCTGCTCAGTATATATTGAGTATGCTCAATATATAATCCAGTCACGGGGGAGTGGTGCCTTTTCAAAGGGATATTGCAGTAACAGTGAACTTTCTGTGACCGCAAGGTTAAGTTAAATTACAGCAGTTGAAAAGATGCTAGTTAATCAAGTGGTGATGTTACAGTTTTCTTGATTTAATGTTAACTTAGAACACAGAGGTCTGTATAAATAGAATAAGAAAGTCATTATTTGGTCCCAACAAGCAGTGCTAATTATGTATCTTCTTTGTAGGTGATGGTTGGATTCACAGCATTTCAACAAATGGATGGAAACAACTTACCCACTTGCCTAAGAGTAGGCCTAGGTATACAAAAATAGATCCACATTTCCTGAAATTGACACATTTTAAAATATTAAGTAATTTTAAATTTGGGGGCAATATTTTTAACATATTATAAAAATATTTTATAAAATGCATGCAGTACAGTTAAACAGTTTGCATTACTAACTAAGGCTTCTTCATACCAGGGCAGCATCATTATTTTCTATATTTGTTATACTGTGTGATGTTTTCTTGCATTAAATGGTTTTGTTTGTAATGAAGGTGCCCAATCAACCCAGTGTTTTATATCCAAATGCTTTTTGTATTTGAATTAATAGTTTATAATGTTGATTTTAGCTTATAATGTTGATATTAGAGACATGGGGGAGACATCCTTGAAAAATGTTGATGCACTTCTGGGGTTTCAGAAGAATTATAAATAGCTCTCTGCTTTTCTTCTGAGAAGAAGCAGTTAATTTTACTTACAGCTTTGCATAATTGAATTAAGTACTAAACAACAGCCGGGCTTTAACAGAATTATAGTTAACTGTTGGGTTTTGGTTTTGGGGGGAACTAGGTCCTGCATAGGACCTCGTTCTAGGATCTGCATTGCTCAAAGTCACAAAAATACTCTCTTCCAGACTCTTCTGTTTCCCTCCCCTTCTCAAATTTAAGACTATAGGAAAAGATGGATTTTTTCTGACTAAAGTAAATTTCATGCTCTGAATCTGGAGGTTATTGATAAGCTGCCATTATAAACACAAGTGTGGTGTCTCAATCTATAGGCTCCATTTTACCACTGTGCAGCACTCCCTGTATTCATAATGCATGTACTGTTCAATTGTACATGGTAAATATTCTGTTTTTCAAGGAATCTATACATTAACCAAGGTACACTCAGCACAAATTTACATATATATATATTTAGTATAGGATATAGTTTTGGGCTATCATTTGGATACCTCCTGCCATATGTTCTATTTTCTGTTTCTGGAATATCCTTATCTCATGGAATATTCTTCCAATTTTATCCCATTTCAGGATGTTTTTTAAACCTGGCAGCACAGTGAGACTAAATCTGCCGCTTTCTTATTTCAACTTGAAACAGTTTGGACATTCATATTTTAACTTTCATAAAACATTTTCTGCCTTTTATGATAAACTGTTGTATGAAGAGATTGATAACTGCCTTAAATAACAAAGCATGTAATTAGCAGTCAGAAATTATGTCTGTCTTTACCTCCTGTTCAGTTATCTACATGGGTAATATTCTATAAAATAACTGCTGGAGTGGACTGCCTCCCCTGGTGAATTAAGATTTATTGGTGCATTATGAAAAGGTTCGGAAAGGCACAAAACAGGCAGTGGGTCAGGGAGCTGCAGCTCAGCCCTGTTCTGCAATTAAGCTTGAGCCCGTGAGGCTTTCAGGAGTTCAAGGCCAGATCCATACTGGGCTACAAAAGTGTCACTGTCATGTTGGCAGGGACCTCTAGGGACCATCCAGTCCAGCCCCTGCTCCAGCAGGGACACCCAGAGCACGGGGCACAGGGCGGCATCCGGGCGGGCTGGAAGATCTCCAGAGAAGGAGCCTCCACAGCCTCTCTGGGCAGCCTGTGCCAGTGACCTGATTTTAGTTCTAAGTAAAAAAAAATAGATATTTTAAAGATATCTCTGTAACCCTTTTTAGTAATGTTTAGTTTCTGTCTTGGAAACACAGGTAAAAGAAATCCTCTCAAAAGTCCCTCTGTATATTGGATTCGTTTGAAAGAGTGCAGAGTGCTCCTTTGTCCCATAGCTCTGTCCCTACATTTACTGCAGGACCTCTATAGCAGAAAAGAGCTTAATTAAGGCCCATTGCTCAGGTGGTCTTGCCAGCAGGACTTAAAATGCACTGGCAATTACATATATGTATGCACTTATTGTGTGTATTTCTATTATATTTTATAATAGTACACTATTAGTAGAATTTCATGCTGTTTCTGCAAAATTGATACTCTCCTTAAATGCCGTGAAGAATTATGCCTTTAAAATTTCCTTCAGTCTCCACTTTTAGTAATATGTAATAAGTCTCCCAAATCATAGATCTGTGGTACTAAACTATTTGCTCATAGAAAAATGTTTTATTTTTCTGTTGTTGTTTGGGGTTTTGTTCATAAATTGTACTTCAGCTAATGTTTTGCATGCAAGGTTAAAATATAGAACCAAGTTATATGTTTAACTTATAAATTTGCAGTGTTTTCATTAAATTTTAGTCAGAAGAGCTGTGTAAAATAGTTTCATCAATTCAGTTTATGTATTTAAATAACATGCTTTATTAGAATATTTAGGTGATAAGTTAGAGCAGCTGTGAGAGGACATAAACTCTGTCAGTCTGTAGAAAAAAGCATCAGGTTGCAAGCTAGAATGTCAACAAAGTCAAGGCAGGAAAGGCTTTCCAGTGTTCTTCGGTGATGAAGTCCAGGCCCGAGTTTTCCTAATGCAGATAAGACAGAGACAGATCTATCCACAGGTATGAGGAAGAGAAAAGGTGGGATACAGTTTAGCGTAAGGAGAACAGTGAATAATTACTGAAATTAATGGAGTAAGAAAATGAGAACATTTGTTTTTGCATGAAAATTCTAGTGTGCATATTATTTTGGCAATACAAACATAAGAGACCATAACTCTGTGATGATAATCATCCTGTAATATACTTCAGTGGTGACAGACCAATAGAAAAACAATAGATTTTGATCTGCCAAAAAGTAAATACAGCAAATTGTAGCTACCAAAGTAGCTGAATCGCTGCTAAAGCGAGAGTATACAAATTAGCTTTTTATTTATACAGTCTGCATTTATAGGCAGAACACAAAATTACTTGTGGGCGTAATTTAAGAAATTGGTATGCACAGAAAATGATCTACCTGAATGTTTGGGAGAAGCATAAAATGGATGCAGAAGAATGTGTGTTCTGAGCTCTCATCCTAGTGTTCAGGGATAAGAATCAGTATTGAAAAGCCCACAATCTTAAATCCATTGGTATTATAGTTATTACTTAAATAGTGAAAACTCTTTAAAAACCAACAAAAACTCTATAGATATTTTGTTTTACAAAAATTTTCCACTGTGAAATTTTGCCTGAAGTACTGATAAATAACCCATCTGACTTGTAAGTCAGACACTTGCATATATACATATAGATCTGCATGAAATAGAGCATTTTGTTGAATGATTACAAACTGGGTTGTCATATTGTTCCTTTATATTGCTTAAGAAGTGAATAATAATTTAGGTGTTATTTTTAGCATTGAAAGCTTTTGAAATAATCACATTTGTGTTAGTTTTCTAAATAATAAGGTTTACATGAAGATGCTCTGTGTGGGGATGTCTGCCTGTCCTTCCCATGTATCCTTTGAATCAGTTGACACATTTCAGTAATATCTGACAAATAAATAATTTGTCTGTGCACAAATTCTGTGCAAAGAAATGGCTAAACAAACAAGAGAGACTCTAATTGTGTTACTGCAGTGAGCGCTTAGTACTTAAAGCAAAGAATGGAAGAGTCTGAGACAAAAAAATACTTTTTTAAGAAAAAAAAAAAGCTTTATGTTTCTACAGTTCACAGAGCAACATGTAAAATAAACTATTAAAATTGTAAAATTCCTCTTGGTAAGTAGAGTAGATTTCACATCTCTGTGAATAAGTAGTGGAATCATGATTTTAAAAAGTGACCTTTTCATTTTAATTAAAAGTAACTTATATCCTTGTACAAAAGAGTTGTTTGAAAAGACACTTCAATATGAAGAATAAAGAGATGTGAGGTGAATTAGGTTAATATTCAAGTAAATGTACTATTACTCTACACCCCTTAAAACATTTAGTTTTAGCTGATAATATGCTTTTTTTTTTGTTGATATTTGGTCACGAAGTCTATTTATAATTTTCTTTCTAGACTATGGCATACAGCCTGCCTTGGAAAAGAAGGAGAAGTGATGGTGTTCGGTGGAAGCAAAGATGACTTGCATTTTATGGATACAGTGAGTAAACTTCATGAATTTATAGCACTATAATAAGTAACTAAAATAATTAAAGATAATATAATTGCTGAGATCATTGGAGCTGTTGTAAAGATGTGAGCTTGTCTTTGAAAGACTATGCAGGCTTTTTCTGCCTTTGATATGCTCATAGAAAGGAGTTTTCTATCCAGAGTCTCTGGATGATTTAAATATTTGTTTTTAAACTATGTGATAATAAATGCTGCATTATTCCAGTTAATAACCAGCAATATTTTTGAGATGAGCTGTTATCTGAGTAATCTTCATGGTTCTTTTTTCATCCTGACCAGGGTCACTGCAGTGATTTGCTGATATTTCAGACTCAGCCTTATTCACTCCTCAGGTGAGTTGAGATTGCTGACACAAAGAATCACTGGGTCTTCACACAAGGGTACTTAACCATTTACTCTCACATAAGCAGTTAACTTAGAAAACTGCTACTTCAATAAATACTTGAAATTTGCAATATATGATGATACATATCAGTTAAACCAAACATAGTATTTTTCTTTCTTCTCCACATAATTAAAAACATGCCATTAACTTTATCACAATAAACTTTTACAGGTGTTGCTGTATTACCTTTAGGTTATAGACTATTTTATTTTATTTTATTTATTTATTTATTTTTTACTTTTTCCAGGTTGTGTCTTGACTGCATTGGTAAAAATGCAGTCCTCCTGAAGAATCAAATACCATGTCTGCCATCCAAACTTCTGCAGCAGGTGCTGAAAAAGATAACTTTTTGGGCTGCAGTTAACCACCGGCAAGAGAGAAGAGCTGAAACCGAAAGACAGGGGCAACCAAACAGCACATGAACAAGGGCAACACAACTGTTGAACACTTTGTTTATTTACAATGTACAGCAAAGTCTTTTGTTAGCGAAATTTACTGATGCTACAGAACAACGTTATGTTATGCTGAGTTTCTAAGTCAAGTTTGAGGAAAAAAGAAATCCTTTTTATGGAAATCTCTTTTTGTTTTCTGCATTATAGAAAACTGATAAAACTTAATTTGTATATATTGTTAACTTCTGCTATTGTGGTCTTAATGAGAGAATCCATAAAAGTTGTTCTTTTTGTAGGTGGCAGATGATATAAAACGTTTTCTGTTTGGTACAATATGGCTCAAGTCTAAAATCTTGTCACATCGGAACGGAAATTAGTTGAACACCCTATCTTTGCAAGATTCACACTTGCCGTTCTTCGCACGGGTAACTCATTTGCTAAAACGGCAATTCAAAATCTTTTTACTCAATTCTGCCAAATTAGATGGTGTGATAGAGGCTCAGAGGACTGGTTAAGCTCAGCACACCCCTGCAGCAACACGGGCTCACTGCGCTCCTGTAAGCAAGGGGTCACGCTTACAGGGGCTTGTATATTGTATTTTGGATGTGTAAAGTTTATATTTCTTGTTTTTAAAAGATTATGCTTATTTATTGTTACAGAACAGCACATGTAGTACTTGCTAGTTTTCTGTTTCCAAAACTAAGTTAACAGGAAAGCACTCATTAAAATTTTATAGCAGGTTGGATGGAGGCCAGCTGTGATGATTTTTTTTTTTTTTGCCATTTTTGTGATCTGCAGAAGCCCGGTGAAGTGGAGGGGGGAGATTTTTGGGGCGAATGTGTCTCAAAAAGGGGAATTTTGCGGTGGGCGACGCGTTTGGAACCGCAGCCCCGCCTGGGGGGGGCGCGGCGCGG